GGAGAATTGCAGACAGGCAGTAATCCCATGCTGGTGTGAATTTCCCTCCCTGAGCCTTTGCTGCTCTGCCGCACATCGGCACTGTTGCTAGTGAAAGTAAACACCCAAACTGGTTAAACCAACAGCGCCCTGTTGATTCAGAGCTCGTAAAAATACAGAAGCCCCAAGCCACTTTATGATGTGCCAGAATCTGGGGGCAGGAGGGAAGCCTGGGGAACTCACTTTGCGGGGGCCACCATAGAGCTTAAGCTGGAGCAGAGGTCAAGGCTTCACCCATTGGCCAGATCCAGGCCCCCCAAGGAGGATGACTTTAAAACTCAGGACCCTGGTTAGGTTAGAAAACCGTAGGCTGTGAGGTTGTCTGGACCTCGGATGTAAGCAAAGCTGAATGAGTGTTGGTGGGTCCAGGCCCTGGAGGCACACTGGGTTTCCTGAGTGCCCTCCCACAGGCCCAGGAGGAGTGACCCCAATTAGCAGCTGTAGGTGATGGAGGTTGCATCAGAGAGCAACAGAGAAGCAGGGCCCAGGGGGGTGATTTTGGTTGCTGTTTGCTTCTCCTCAGTTCCTCTTTCAGAGGTTAATTGGATTCTGTTTGCTCTGCCTCTGGGCTCTCTGAGGATGGGGGCCTGCCTGAGGAGTTCCCCTGTCCTCAGGTGGCCTCTTAAGTGTGGAACTTGGCTCTTAAACAAATGTATGTGACAAGTCACCTGGCAATATTGTTAAAATGCAAATTTGGCCTTTGCCTAATAGATTGGGGCACTGGGGTGGGGTGTGGCCTGGGAGTCTGCATGTTTATTAAGCCCCTCCCTCAACAGGAAGAGTCACTGCAGGTGACCCCGGAGCCACACACTCCAAGATGCTGGCAGTTGGGATCAGGAATCCTGGGATATGGCTCAGGATCCACCAAGAACAGCAGGGATGGAGGGGCAGCCTGTGTAGGTGTGCGGATGTGGTCTGCTCAGACTTGGTAAAAGGTCTATTATAAGACCAGCCTGTGACTGGCACGTAGCAATGACTCAAGAAGCTGCAGCTTTTTGTGCTGTTAAAACCTTGCTGACCAATTATTAATCAAACCAGACATGCTTGTTGCAAGCTTACTCATCAAATGCTCCAACATGAAGTGGGACTGTTAACATTTCCCCATTTTACAGATGGGAAAACTGAGGCTCAGAGCTGTGAAAACCCTTAGAAGGATCACCTAGTAGGATGTCCAACACTACAGGCTTGCCAGGGGCAGGAGCTGCTTCCCTTGAGGGTCTGAGAGCTGCATCTAAGTTCTGAGCACCTGTTTTCTCTATAAAATGGAGTCTTCCTTGCCTTTACAGTAGGGCTGTGATTTAAGGGTTTAACAAGATAACAAGAAAAATGGTTTGAAAATGCTAAGCAAGGAAAGAAGAGCATTCTGAAGTCAGTGATCACAAACACCATAACTTCTTGGGCAGCTGCTGTCTGCCAGGCATGGGCTAGGGGTTTTGTCTTATAGTGGATATTTCCTTTTATTGTGGTAAAATGCACACAACATAAAATTTGTCCTTTTGACCATTTCAAAGTATACAATTCCACACATTAAGTACCTTCACAAAGTTATGCACCTGCTACCACCATCTAGTTATAGAACTTTTTCATCACTATAGAAACACACGCCCATACCCTTTAGCTGTCACTACACAGTCTCCTTCCCTGGCCCTTGGAAACCACCAGTCCCCTTTCTGGCTCCGTGCATCTGCTTGTTCTGGGTATTCCATATAAATGAGATGTGATATTTGTCCTGTTGTGTCTGGCTCCTTTCACAGAGCGTGATGTTTTTAAGGTTTACCCCTCTTTCGGCACAGAATCGGCACTTCGTTCCTTCTTACGGCTGAATGATACTCTGTACGAGTGTATAGACAGCATGTTTTGTTTATCCATTTGTCCACCAATGGACATTTGGGTTGATACTAGATATTTTGCTGGCTCTATACTGACCACATCCACATATTTATATATTGGATCTCTTGGGCTGCTTGAAGTAGACCCATGATGGGCAGGCGCTGTTGTAATTTTACAGGGGAAGTCTTTGTGACTCAGAGAGGTGAAGTGACTTGCCTGAGGTCACACAGCAGGGAGGTGGCAGATACAGGACTCAAAACCATGGCTGACCCTGGAGCCCCAGCAGCCTTAGCTGTGTATGTCTCTCCTGTGGCTCTCAGGGCCTCATGTGACGCTGCAGTGATGGTGCCACAGATCAAACCTGGCTGTAGTCCATTGGAATCCTCTAAAGATTATTAAAAAAAAACAAAAACAAAACCCAAATGATGTTGGGTTTAGGCCATTTAAGTCAGAATCTCTAGGATAGCTAGAGATTGCTCCCTTATCAGATGACATCCAGCCATGTCTGGAGACTATTTTGGTTGTCACAATAGGGCGTGGGATGCTTCCAGCATCTGGTGGTAGAAACCAGGGATGCTGGTAACCACAGTACACCACACAGGATATCCCCCCATAACAAAAAATAATTCCGCTCCAAATGTCAGCAGTGGGGTTAGGGTTAGGTCCTGCCTGTCTGAGTCTTACTTAGCATCTGAGTGTGCAGTGAGGGCTGAGAGGTGCTTCCCCTCTCAGAATCGCCCGGGCTCCTTGTTAAACAGCAATTTGGGCGTGGCAGGTGTAGGCCGGAGCCTGAGATACTGCACTTCTATGAAGTGTCGCGGACACCCTGCCTGGCGATTTGAGTTCTCAGACGGCAACAGGCTTATGGGAAGCCAGGCGGGACTCTCTTTGTTTTCTCTCTTTTCTATCTCTTTAAATTTTCACTGAAACACAGAGTTTCCCTTCAGGTAAAGAGTAGGAAATACAAGCTTGACAAAGGTGGAAATCAGCTGGTTGCTGAGATTGACGATAGAGAAGCAGTGAGGTTGCTCTGGGAAGTAGAGGAGATGTGTTTGCAGCAGCGCACAGGGCAGCCAGCCCAGCAGCCTCCAGTCCCCAGCCCCGCTGGCTGTAGGCCCTTGACTGGCTTGCCCAGTAGCAATGACTCAGGCTTTCCACCTGTAAAATGGGAGGGCTGGCTTTTGCCGCCTTCCCACCCATTCCCAGGGCTAGAAGCCCCCGGCAGCTCCTCACCTTCATCAGAGGCAGATCTAAAAAGCCGGGACCTGCAGCTGCTGTTTTCACTGCTAATAAATCTCCATTTGTGGCAACTCAATTAGGAAGTCATCACAAAGCTCCAATATTGAAAAAAAGGATTAATAACCCAGCCCATGTGGGAAAAATTAGCAGCTTCTGCGGAGAGGCCTTTTTAGTATATGCTTGTAGCTGGCAGTGCTTGGAACAGCACTAGCTGGCGGGTCTCTGGGAACAGGGAGAGCCCAGGCCCCTCTGGGGAGGGGAGCGCAGTCAGGGAGATTGCTGCAAGTTGCTCAGTTATGCTTTCAAGGTGAAGTGTCTGGAAGCCTCTGGCTGGTGCTCCGTAGACTCCTGACATGTTGCCAAGTGCATCCTCACTCCATCCACGTGGCCCCAGCAGATGGAGGCCCAGGCAGGGCAGGAGGAAAGGGTTAGGATTGGGCCTTGGGCCTCACGCGGCTGTGGCCCAGGCTCCCGGATGAGGAGGTCCGCAGGCCCCTGGCATGGAAAGGGCTGGCCCTCCGCCCAGTTCTCTGGGCTCTGGGAGGGATGCCAGGAGCACGGACTGACTCACCAAGAGGGGGAGGGCCGGCCTCTTGGCCCATGCTTGAAGGCGAGGCCCTGGCTGTGGCTGTGCCTTGCTTCTCACCTGCCCAGGGAGGGTGGCTGGAGAGGGTCTTCATTCTTTCCTGCAGCCTGCCTTCTGGAATAATCACTGGCTGGCTAGATTGGCTAAGAGACTTGGCTTTCAAGCTAGAGAACCTTGCTTTTGAGGGCTCAAATATAAGTTTTACCATATACCCTTGGCCAAGTGGTGACCTGACTTCTCTGAGCTTTACTTTCCTCCCCAGTCAAATGTGAATAAGTTTAATGCTTCCTTCCTCTGAGGCTTGCTGCGTGCATTCGAGCATAGCATTCTGGTTTAGTGCTCAACGTGGGCTGTTCCTCTCTCTGTCATTCCTTGTAGGTAGCGAGCAGATTCAGAGGTAGAGAAAGGAGATACTGAGAATACACATTGAGATACGTCTGTCCAGCCAGCCATCCACCCACTACTGACTCTTTCTTCTAAGTCCTGGGCACTGTTCCCGCCACCTCCCTCCTGAGGGTTACATTCTAGTGGAGGATGATAAGCCAGTAACTACGAACTACAGTGGATCTGAAAGTGAAATTTCCATGGAAAGAGGGAAAGTAGGATAAAGGGGACAGGGCGGGTACTGCTGTTTTCCCTGTGGGTTAAGGAAGCCTCTCGGAGGGGGTGACATCTGAGTGGCAATTGCAGGAAGCGAGGAAGGCAGCCATACAGGTGACCGGAAAGAGAGGTGCTGGCTAGTGAGGACGCTCAAGGTGGGGTGGACAGTGAGGCTGTTCTAGAAGTACGGCTGGAGCAGAGTGATCTTAAGACCTTGTGAAAGATCACGAGTGAATTCCAACTATGCCTCATCCCGGCAGGACCCGGGCCCTAACTTTGGCCCGCATGATACCTTCAAATTTTGGCTGACATCAAATACTCGAGGAGAGGAGGGTACACTTTAACAAAAAGAAACATCTCAGGAAAAAGTTGATTGGCCTGTCCTTTCATGGAAAAATAAAATGTCAAATTCTCATTCACGTGTCTTCCCTAGATGGAGAACAGGCATCTGTTTCTTAACTCAGAAATACAAAACATGTTGTTAGAAGGAAATTAGCTCACATGACTTAGGGCACTTTTACAAGGACATTAACATCTGCAGGGTCCCTGGTTGTCAGGAGTGATGGTTCTACTTTTTAATGACAACAGGTGACACATGTGGGCAGACAGCATTGTAGCTCATCACCATGAAATCAGACTGCCTCTGTTCAGCAGACATGTGCCCTCATCACAGTGACTTCTCTCTCTCTCCCCCTCTTGCCCTCAGCCCAGCGATCCGCCCATGAGCTGCCCATGGTGGAAAGGCAGGACACGGACAGCTGCCTGGTGTACGGGGGCCAGCAGATGATCCTCACGGGGCAGAACTTCACCGCTGAGTCCAAAGTTGTGTTCATGGAGAAGACCACAGGTCAGTGGGTTTTCAGCAGCTGTGCCAAAGCGACCGACTTTCTTTTCTATTCAACACTGATTTGAGGGGTGGATCCCACCGGGTGGGGTTTTATACCCTGCTCTTCTTACTCACTGTGTTGTCAGAGATTATGAAAGTCGTGCTGCTTGCCATTGCCTGAACGTGCCATCTTGTATGTTAACTGATGTTAGGTTGTTTTGATCAGCCCCCACCCTTAATTTCCCCCCCCAAATTATTTTGTTCACACAAAGGAGCAAACTTTTTTTTTTTTTTTTGGCCGGGGCTGGGTTTGAACCTGCCACCTCTGGCATATGGGGCCAGCGCCCTACTCCTTTGAGCCACAGGCACTGCCCAGGAGCAAACTTTTTAACTATTTTCCTATCCTAAGAAGAGAGGCCAGACAGTGTGATGATTAAGTGTGCAAGCTCTGACCCTGGGTATCTTGAATTTAGATCCTACTTCTGCTACTTGGTTGCTCTGTGATTTCAGGCAAATTACCCAACCTTTCTGTGGCTTGATTTCTTCATGTGTCTAATGATAACAAGAGTTATTACCCTCTGGGATTGTTGTGAGGATTAAATGAGCGGATACATGTTACATAATTATAACAGCACCAGGCATAGCATAAGCCAATAAACATTGGCTACTTGTACTGTTACTGTAAGTAGTACTGCAGTTAATCTCACACTTTTAGGATGAATTAATCTTAGTAAGCATGCATCCGTGTAACTTTTTTCTTAGGGTTTATTTCCCAGGAGTGAAACAGTCATTTTGAGGGCTTTAAATACAAATTGCCAAATTATATTCTGGAAATATACAAAAGGAAACTTCCACCTTCTCAGTAACATTTTCACCCCCTTCAGGATATCATATTTTTAAAATTAAAAATATCATTGTAGACTTAGTATGTCTTTGTACTTTGCCTTGGTTTGCCATGAGAGGTTCAGTGTTTTTATTTCTTGCTCATGTGTATTCTTTCTTTGGTATGCTATCTGCTAATGTCTTTTTCCAGTAGGGATGTGGTAAAAAGACACAAATCTGAAGTTGGAAAATAGCCAGTATAGATGAAATGTGTTGTGATAGGGCAATTAGTTCAAATGACTTAGGGTATTTTTGGATGCTAGAGCTAATTTGTTTTTTAACAGTCGTGATTGCAGCAAAAGGGGGTTGATGTTTGCCGATTTATGTATTTCTAGTGTCCTTAGGATGATCCGGAGAATGTGACAGGCAGGTCGTCCAGTTGTGATGGTTGTGCACTGAACAACAGTGCCTCCTTTGAGGTCCCCTATCCACACTGGATGCCTTATTGGTTTATAGGTTACCAAGACAACTTCTGAAGGTGGAAGCAGAGTGTCTTAGGAAAGGAGTTGTCAGGGTCCCTTCATGTTTGCCACTGCTTACGGCTGAGACTGGTCGGTCTCTGGCCCCAGCCTATCTAGCTGTGTTCTGGACATGGACCACTATGCTGTTATCTCGCTCAGGAACAATTGCTCTTAGGTGCCTGAGGCCTACTTACCTTAGCTGAAGGGAGAGAAAGAGATAGTCTTTGAGAGAGTAAAGCAGTCTTCTTAGAAAGATAGATCTTAGTCTTTAGCAGAGCTTAGTGATCTTCAGCAGAGAGACACCATGCTGGCATTCTGCAGGCAGGAGAAGCGACAGAGTCAGAGTAAGCAGGTCCGTGATAGAATGCACATGCTCCCTACTACCCTCTCCTCCAGCCTCATATAAGGCTGATCGCTAGGTGTAGAGACTGCCAATTCACTAATGCTCTCATCTCTCAAGCTCTCTCATGCTTGTTAGGAGAGCTAAATCCCTCTCTGTGCCCTTTTCACCGAGGTGTTCCATTATTCAGCTATTTAGGTATTTCTTATAACTCTCACTCCTCTTAGCCACAGGCGTGCTTCTTCTCAACTCAAACAGAGGCTCCTTTTGGGGTGGACTGGTCCTGTGACCATACTTTGAAAGTATGATGAGGCAGAACTTGTTTTAAAGCCAGGTCCTGGCTAAGGGCATTGTATTGGGAGCTGTCAATGATATGGTCCAGCCGAAGACTGTGACCTCCCAGGATGGCCCCTCCTGTGAACTGCCACAGCAGGAGGAGGAGAACTGGGGAGCGTGGTGCCCTGGAGACCAAGGGAAGGGGTCAGGAGAGGCAAATGCAATAGAGACCAAGAAGCTTGAGGTTGGTGGCATGAGAGACCAAGGAGTGACGAGTGATTGGAATAACTCTGCACCCAGCTGGCAGTGAGTGGAGGAGTAATGTTGGCTGACAGATGGGAGGTGATGAATGGAGAGTCTATACCAGAGGGCAGTAGCCCACGGCCGCATTCTCAGCCTCAGCATTATGAACATTTTGGTGGTGGGGTAGGGGCTGCCCTGTGCACTGTAAGATGTGAGGCAGCATCCCTGACCCTCTGGCAGCACTGCCCAAGTTATGATGACCAAGAACGTCTCTGGGGTTTGCCACATGTGCCCTGGAAGAGAAATTGCCCAGATCAAGAACCAATAGTTTAACTTCTGCAGTTCAGAGACGTTATTAGGGGAGGGATCGGAAGAATATGAGGAAGAATCAGAATCAGGTTGATCTTAAACCCTCTGCCTGTGATTCTCACCAGCACAGACGTGGCCTGTTGCTTGTCGGACACCTGCGCATCTTGCTGAGTGGTCCTGCAAAGGGGGAGCTGAGAACAGGGCTGGACTTCACCTCCTTTACCCTGGTGGGGCTCACCCAGTGAACACAGGGCTCTGTTGGCTGAGTAATCCCTGTTTCTACTGACATCTTTTTGTATATATACTTTTAATCCTATTTTTAAATAGCAATACATCATGAGCATTTTTTCAGGTACTTACTATTGTTTGAGAACCAGATTTTCAGTGATGTACTGCTTTCTATCATAAGGCCTCCAGTGCTGCATTTAACCCTTCCCTTTTTATTGGACATTAGGCTGCTTCCAACTTCATGCTATCATAAGCGGCTTGTCATAAGATCCTCTGAATTCCAGCTGTCAACTGGGTCACAGCTCATGCTCTTGAGTCAGACAGCTTGTGTTAGTAAACCTTCCTGGGCAGAGTTCTTTCATGTGTGCCGTGAGGATGGTCACAGTCCCACCTCACTGAGTGGTCATGAGAGTAAGGGTTCACGTATGTTAAGTGCTTCTAACAGTGGATTAGTGTGATAACAGTAAATTAGTTAGTACATATACATGTTACTAATACTGTTTGTTATTCTTGTTGCCTACAGTTAAGGTTTTTGGGTGGTGTAATGGAATCAAGAGACATGTGTCTATTTTTAAAAGTATCTTAGTACACTTTGGGGAGGCTTATTTTTCAGGTGGTAGCCAGCATAAATACTCATAAATTCTACCAAGAATTTGCTAGGCTTTCTTAAATCAGAGAGCAAATTCATGTGGCTAGAGTAGAGGCTGGTCAACATTGGGAAGTATATTTGGATGAATATGCATATGTTGTCCCAGTGCCAGATAGAGACATGGTGTTGGTTTGGTCTGGTCCTGGATAAGGTAATAGGGAGCCAGAGTGGGTTCTTGAGCTGGGGAGTGGCATGAAATGTAAATGACCAAGTAAGCATAGTATCAACTGCTTTGATGCATCTTCAGTACAAGGAAAGCATCCTGCTGGCCTTCTACTGACTTTCACAAGAAACAAATGGCTTCAAAGCCTCATTTTGGCAGAGGGGAATTCTCTGATAAGGTATAAACATTTGTGACTCACATCCAGGTTGACAGAGCCTATGCAGGGGGCTGATGGCACTGTACAGGGGGAAGAGTTTGAGGCTGGATCCCACCAAATCCCTTGTGGATTTAGGAGCCAGCCAGCTTTCAAGTGTTCTGGGAGCTTAATTACGTTGAAGCTACCCAAGGGCATCAAGTAAAGATTTGCTGAAGGAATGAACCAACTAGCGAATGGCATTTACTGTCTGGCTTCTGTTCTAGGTTTCAGAAGAAATTTTGCATATTTACCTCTTGAAGGGAGAAAAACACAGAGCCTTTGAAAAATCGAGGGCTAAGGAGAGAAATAAGACCAGCTCCCATCAGGTGACCCGTGACCAGTAGTAGTGACACATGCTAACTAAATGTTCAGCATTGTTTTTGTGTCTCCCAAAATTATCATTGCTCAGGCTGTGGTCATTTTTGTTGGCACATACTACTCCAGGTGCTGGGCTGGGCTCTTGCATTTAATAGCTGTGTGGTCCTGGCTAAGTCACTTCACCTCTCTGAGCCCACATTTCCTCTTTTGTAAAATATAGATGATTTACTTCTTTTGGGAGGTAAAAAGATTAAATTGTGATCCTACAGATTAGGCTCTTTGCATAGGGCTTGGCACATTGAAAATACTCATTAAATATTAACCTTTTTATTATTCACATTACATTTGGCTGTGAAAGGACAAAGATGAGTAAGGTTTTATCTCATGGAACCAAAGACAAAACAATTAAAGCCATTAACAAAAATAATAAGTAATAATAAAAACTGTGTTCCAGGCCTTGTTCTAAGCACTCGATGTGATTCCTCGTGACAGCCCTATGCAATAGACTACTGTTCTTTATATATTACCAATGAGAAACTGAGCACAGAGAGGTTGAGTAAGTTAGTGGAGATCACACAGCTGGTAAAGGACAATGATAGGCTTTGACCCCAGGCAGCCTGGCTCCAGAGTACACACCTTGAGCTATTAGTTGTTCTTCTTTTTAAAAGCTTAGAATCAGGTTAATTTGCCTGAAGACCCTTCACTGGCCCAGAGCCACAGACTTGAACCATTTGGTGGTGACAGGGACTCCTGAATTCTGCCTTGAGTTCATGCCTAACTAAAGAGTCTCAGTGAATGTAGTTTCTGGATTGATGACAGTTGACTAGCAGGGGCATCTGAGATGCCTTTGGCATCACTGGTGGTCTCTGCAGGGGGTCCCTGGCTCCAGCAGCTCCCACAGAAGGGGCTCCTCTTGCATTTGCAGGGAGCTGGTCCTGCTCTTTTGACCCAAGAGC